GGATTCTCTAACAAAAATCACTGTCGCGAGTGTGAAATTCATTGCTGGAAAAACATTATATGTCGATTTGGGATTCCCTATAAGATATCGATAGACAACGGACTATAGTTTACTAGCTCTAAAGTCATAGATACCAATTCACCACCTCACTTCCACGCCCATATATCCATAAGGAAACAAACAAACAAAAGCTTCAAACAAAACCATCTTGCAATGCTTGAAGAGTAGACTCGATGAAAAGAAAAGTAAATGGCCAGGAGAGCTATCGGAGTCCTGTGGGCTTATTGTACGATAGTCTGGAAAGCCACCAAGGAAACATTATTCTTTATGGCTTATATAACCGAGGTTGTCATCCCAATTCAGGTCACAACTATGCCAAAATTGCATACTGAAGAATGGATAACCCTAGAGAATATGGGGATCCTAAAGACAGATCTCAGCGCTCAAGTTCGACTAGCAACTTACCAGCAACAAATCCGATTATAGTACAACGAAGACGTCAAGCCCATGAGTCTACAAGCAAGAGACTTAGTCCTAAGAAAATTCTTCAAAAACACTAAAGTCTTAGGAGAAGGTAAACTTGGGGCAAACTGGGAAGGTCCATACAAGGTCGTAAGAGTAGGAGGCAACGGAATTTACCACTTGGAGCACATGGATGGAACCCCAATCACTATGAAGTGGAACATTGCCAAGTTAAGGAAGTATTATCCATAGATGCATTACACGAACTACACGTAATTTGATTCCCTCCCTAGGGTATGTAAGGGTCCACTCCGGATTCAATAGCAACGTAGCTGTCTGCCCGAATACAAGTCTATGGAGAACTCATCTCCCAATGCCCCACCATAGGCTTATTGTTAAAAGTGATCCTTGGTGTAATTTTTTACATCATATCATCTTTTCCTTAGAACAACACCAATGATTTGATTCTCCATCTCGGAGATATGTAAACAATCATTTTCAGATTAAATCACGCCCCATTGTCAATCAATTTTACTTTGATCATGAATAAAGAAAATCTACACTGTTCTTTCTTTATTTTTCAGATGATGCAATGAGTATCCTACTCGTTCAAAAACAGGGCCCAAACTTTGAAAATTTTGCACAAATGCAAGTCTAAAAAAGTTCAAAGTTACACTATCAGAGGAGTCTCTTTTAGCCCAATCCGTCTGGAACTTAGCAGCTTAGGAGACTCGAACCATAATAAACGTAGTACAATTGGCAGGCAACAAGCGCAAGCACATGACACCATGACCCGAAAGTCCAATGCACCATTTGGCCTTCGAAAAGTTTATATAACTAGCAATATTGTGGGTTATTATATTCAAACCCGGGCTCTACGCCATTCGAGTGAATAGTCGAAAGGGTAATCCGAAACTCATTTGAGGGTGGCTCTGAAATTAGACCCCGAGTACAACTACTTCTATCCTGAAACAGCATGCTAAGTTAAGTATGTTCTACGACATCTAATGTTTACAAGTTCAAATGCGGTATCTAGACTAGGCAATCCCTATGAGGAATTTTATTCCAATGGAGTTGACTCCGATATGTGCAAACATTAAGACTCTTAACCCATATACAGACAAAGCATTGAACATTTTTGCTAAATTATTCCCTGCATGATACTTCAGGAACGATGCAATCATCTCAAGTCCGATAAATGTTCGAATAAGCTTGGAGCGGAGGGTTCCTCATGGGTTTAAATGCTTGCATTCCTGGTACTGGAGTAAGGTGGTACTCCGACTAACGCGATGAGAATCCTTTACAGATGCAAAGTTTGAGAGGTAATGTTTCTCCAAATCAATATTACCAAGGGTTTTTTTTTCTTAATTTAAACTCTGTTCCGGGTCCACAAACTTATTCGCATTCTGCTCTGCGACTTATTCTGTTCTTTAAACTTCGTTTACTTTAGAAATATTTATTAGATTGAGAAGTTTTCATGAAGAAGATGTACAAGATTGGAAAGTCTTTACACAAACACATGTTTCTTATTAAAGTTGCAAAGAATATCAAAATAGTACAATAGTTTGAGGGAGACAAACCCTGACCCCTAGCGAAAGGGAAAATCCAGAGTCGAAATGAAATGTTGAACTGGAATCGTTGATTCAAGAGAGAATACCACCGTCAAGATAGTGGTAGGCTACACCTATATTGCTGCATACGCATAACACTACATTGAGGACGAGTACTCAGATGGAGATCCGTCACCGCCTCCGTCCATAAGTAGAGGAAATGGAAAGAGACGGAGATGAAGAATTCACAATAACATCCCATTATCCTGAAGAATCTAGACACCAATACATATTCTACACAAGGTGTTTGGTGAGAAGAAGGTTGGTGATCAGGAATTTTCATGAGTGTCACATGGGTGAGTGTTTGAACAAAGGCCATCACCATCACCGTCAACAAACATCAGATGACGAAGAAAACAGTGTTGAAAGACCATTCGGGGGATCTTCACGCTTTTTGCATATCCTACCCTTCTATAAAGCACACTTGGTGAGCTTTATGAAGGAATGAATATTATAGGATAAGTTGCAAGAAACGTGGAAAAGTATAGAGCAAGTTGCAGGAAGTATGGAGACATTTTTTAGAATGTATAAGGATTTACAGTAGGCAACACAATTTTCTAGGATCAAAGTTTTCTTTAGCGAAGGACCCAGAAGAAAATTAGGATTAAGCAAAGGAAAAACAAGCATCATGGCGAAACTAAGGAAGGATTGAAAAAAAAATTGTGTTTTGAGAAAGCCATTGAAAGGCAAATCACCAAAAGATATCACTGTTAAAGATGAAGAGTCGTGCACCTTAGGATCGACACGTACAAAGATCGAAGTTAATTAATAAAACACATGGAAGAAGCTAGTGCACAAAACAGAGATGTTCGTTATCATTGCAGTTGATTTTTACATGATTCTGAAGATTACGTGATGGAAATCGAAGCGACTCGACTTCCCGACTTTAATGACAACTTACTCGCTTGCAAAGCATTTGAAGATTAAACGGTACGTAATCCAGCTTACTTCGAATGACATGGGCTTTGGGTGACAATCTATCAAGGGGAATAGGTTGCTTCTCAAATGGTTAGTTAAGTGCAATTGTGGGACCATGATTTTCTAGAATTGGAGTAAGGCTGATCTGAATGCTCTTACCTTAGAAGTCTAGTCATGGACTCACCAAACCCGGGTGGAGTTGTATTAAATGGAGCAGGGTGCCACCATCACTCTACTTTGGAGCACTATGTGGAGTCCTAATTCCATAAGACACACAATCTGATTCGGATATGGACATAATTAGATCGTATAAGTCTTAAAATCCCTAAAATCTAGGAATAGCCGTGCACCGCAAGTAATCACAACTCCTAAGAGGATGCAATATCTACTTACTAGATATCCTCTCGGGTTCTCTCTGCTCAGGATAAGGATTCTATCCTAAAAAGGTCCCTATCCCCATGGTATAAATACACTCACCTAGGTTTCATCTATAGTAACGCAATCTATACACTTCAAATCTCTTGCCCGCTGCTTGAGTCTAAAATCATTCACTAACTTATTCGTTGGAGAGCCTTTGGTAGGACAACCCCCCTCCCCCGGTCCTAGGCTTACTCACGGTTGTTTATTGTTTTGCAGGTTGCTCAAGTTTGTACTCAACCACCGCTCATGGAGGTATACGAATTTTGTTCCAAAAATGAAGTAGGAAATCTACTTCCCAATAACATGTTCATAATATATCCATAATATTTTGAACAACGCTTATTATTAGCTACGCCCATTGAACTCGATTTTAATCTCACTTTGCCCTGTAACTCAAAAGTCGCCACTTTACTCCATGTGCCTAGAAAATTGCTCCACTTTGCCTCCTGAAACTCAATTTTGATCCTATTTTCTCCTTGAAATTCAAAAGTCTTCACTTTACTCTATAAAACTTAAAATTCGCTCAATATTAACTTAATTATGTTCAAAAGCCATGAAATATGCTAATGTGAATTAAAAATGCATATGTGAACAAAAGAGGAATGTGTATTATGGTAAAATGGTGAACCAAAACCCAAAAGAAGGAGAATGACTTCCTGGCGTCTATCCTACCACTACTTACCCTATCTCGCCTGCACGAACTCCCTCACCTCTTCCTCACTATCAACCCAGCCTCTCCCCTTCTTTCTTTCTCGAAGATTGATTTACTATCTGTGGAATTTGAGCAAACTCCATTAGGTGGGTTTGATTTGGGTGTATCAGGCTAATTAATTTCTTTTCTACATATGTTTCATGGGCAACTTTTGAGTTTCAGAGAGGAGAGAGAGAGTCCACAAGTCAAAGTGAAGCAAATATTGAATTTTAGGGAGTAAGGTTATGACTTTTAAGCTTTAGGAGGTAAAGTGAGATCAAAATCGAGTTCCAAAAGACATAGCTAAAAATAAGCATATGATAGTCCAATTTTACCAATCTACATTAGCAATTTTAATAGATGTTTGATAGAAGACACGGAAAATGGTAAAGTGGAAGAATTTTGAGTTTCAGGAAATAAATAGGTGACTTTTGTGTTACAGGAGTCAAAATGAAATCAAGATTGAGATCTACAGAGTGTGGCTAAAAATAGACCATCGAACAATGAGAAGTTGAAAAATGCTAATGTTTTGATCGCTGTAATAGACTGTTAATTTAGCCTTCTCTAACAATATATATAAACAGCATTGAAATAGTCATCTCTCCAAATTTGTTATATATGTAAATAGTATCATCTTAATCGATTTTAAAATCGGAGCACGGCCAAAATTTACTAGTATAATCTAATGTTAATACCGAAATGTGTTGGAGCGGTGCCACGCAACTCTGTTTGATTTGTTTATTGACTTTGTTTTCATTTACTTTCGATTTCAAAGACTTTCTTTTTCTTGGTCAACTGATAACTGATAATTCATTCATAAAAAAAATGAGATTACAATAGAAAAAAGCTTCTTAATTCAATATAACCCAATTTTTAATAAGAACAAAATACAGGTGGTCTTCTCCAAAGTCAAATATCAGCCTTTAAAAATTAACTCAACACTCAGCTTGTATTATCCATTTTACACCCAATATCGCCTCAAATGTAACTTTATTTTACATGAATTTGAATGGTTTACTTTCTTCTAATTTTTCACACTCCTCTTTCTCTCTCTTATACTTGACAATGGAGTTGTAAAAGAAAGCTTACATTTTACTGCATCTAAATTAAGTTATACTATGCCTTGCTTCCTCTAATAGCTTAGCTTGATGCCTAATGCAACTGCTGCATGTTTAAAAATTGACTGTGGGCTGCTTCTTAGAGGAAATTTAGTTGTTCCCATTCCCATAGAGGTTCTTCAAAACCTTCATTAATCTCCCAATTACTACTATTAATCCCTGCTGACGTCTCCAGGAGATCACCAAGCTCTCCGGAATGTGAATAAGTTTCGTCTGATGAGCTTGCTTTGTCCACCATTGTAGTCTTCAAAGAAGAAGTACTTGCTTCTGTAGAGTTACTAAATTTTTGTTGTGCCTCTACTGGCTCCAATGGCCGTCTGTCAAATGCTCGAGCACTCCCAGATACAACGTACACTCGACACAAACTGAATTCATCCCTCAACTACAGTGAAAAAAGATAAATTTATTAAGCGTAATGGCTTCTGATGATAATTTTGAACCGGAACCTCGAGTGTAGAAGTGAATGCTTATAACCAACTGAACTATAGCGGGTTGTCAATACAATTATTATATATACATACCTTGGGTGTACTAGTGCTAGCACTAGCACTAGTGTTAGTTAAGTTGTCTACTTCAATGGCTCTGTACACATTCATCTTCCATTTGGTTTTTCTTCCAGTTGGAGCTTTGTCTTTATAGAAAACCATGGTTTTCTTCACTCCAATCACCTTGTTATCTGAGGAGTAAACATAGCCAGGTGACCCGGTGGCCTTCCAGTACCCAGAGGCAGTAGTCCTGTTGGGCCTCCCTCCTTGAGCTTCTCGTTGTTGCCTCGGTGTAAAGAAAAACCATTGCTCTCTGTCTCCATTGCACAACTCCCCCGAAAACTCTGCAACATGTATAGAACAAACTTATTTGCACAAGCAGAAGTACATGGTGTAACTGAACTAGCCAACATTATAAGTACGTCATATTGGATTGGATTTCGTATGTTAGAATCTACAGATTAAATGGAAGAGAATGTACTTGGAAGGTCCCATGGCTCTTTGCTGTAAACGTCCATAACCGGGATTAGGCGACGAGTATCTACTTGCTTCCCTTCGAGCTTGTTGTGCAGGTAGAAGGAGATCAGTTCTTCTTCTGTTGGGTAGAAGCGATAACCTGGTGGTAGCTCCTCCATGTTTTTTGTGTTGTTTTTCTGTACGTGTATATTTGAGTTTGGTATCTCTGTGTTTGGTAAGGAAGCCATTTATATAGATGGAGAGGTACAAATAGAAAATGATGAGGAGAAAGAGATTCCGAGTTAAATTGGAAAAATGGGGAGATTTGGGTTTTGGTTGAAACTTCCACGCGTTTTTTTTGTTTTAAATGTTTATTCCTTTTTATATAATGCAGACATGATCACTCGTCTAATTAAACCTCCTTTTGAACAAGTCAGCTAAGCTATTCACTTTCTTGCCACATCACGCTCTATCTCTAACGTGAAAAGAAAACACTCGTACAGGTCCAATTCTCTTGTGGGTTTGTGGTCCATATGACGTAACGTTTCCAGCATGATCACCACCAATTTTAATATCAATTGCAATTTGTAGAATGGAAGTTAATCTTGACATCCGTGGTTTTATGGAAACCAATAGGTGACCTGAGTTTTAGTGGAGTTATTCAAAATTTTCTTTAATATTATGTATCACTGAATGATATGTAGCATTGAACGCAAACTTGAATTAAGCATCAAATAATATAATCATGGTTCTATTATTTAAGTTTAGATTTACTCTTGACTTCTATCCTGAAAGAAAAAGAGAAAATCTAACCTCTAATTGAGACAAGGAGGTAGACAAAATTGAAAATTATTATCGAAATAATTAATTATTAAAAAGTCATTTACAATATTTCTCTTCACTTATTAGTAGACGGTCATAGGTTCAATTTCTGTAAATGTCGAGGTTGATATTAAATTATTATGACTAACTAAACCTATAATTTAGCTCAAATCCCTAATTTTTAATGTATTTATATCGTTATATTAATATAATATATTGAACTTAAATTAAAATTGTCTTAACTTATTTGCATACAAATAAGAAAACATTAAAGTTGTAATTGATGAGATTCTCTCTCTCTCTCTCTCTCTCTCTCCCTCTCTCTATAAGTTTGATTTTCTCCTGCGAATTTCTCTGTTGTCTCTCTCTGTCTCTCTACTCTTTTTATTTATTCTTAACAAGTTATAGGCACGATGAAACTTTTGATTTCAACATAATAATAAAGCGACAAGACAATGATATGAATACTGCAACAAAATTTACATGTTATACAAGAGCATGATTGTATATGCTTGAACTACAACAACATTCTTTTAAGTTTCTCAAACAGGCTTATCGGATGGGTACTCTTTTTATTTTATTCTTAACAATAAAGAGTTAATCAATATGTTCTTGAAGTGTTTTTATTTTTTTTTTAAATAATTTTTTTTATCTAAAATATGTAGTTGTAATAGTATTTTTCCTAATTCAAAGAAGCAACAAAAAGGAAAAAAGAACAAAGGGGCATAGTTCAGGTAAAAGAGTTAAGAATTTTCTTTATTGAAGCAACGTATCTTGAGGAAGAACTACATATGGAACAACTGAAACGTGTTATTTCTAAAGGTGATGAGCATATGGTATGCAAACTTCAACTTTCCATTTATGGCCTCAAACTAGCATCCCAAAGTTGGAATATGAGATTTTTGACAAAGTCATATGGGAATATGATTTCGAACAGACTTCAGACGAACTATGCGTTTACAAGAAACAAATTGCGGACTCATTCACTTTCCTGGTGTTATATTTTGGCAACATATTATTGATAGAAAGAATAAATCTATTCTTATAGAAGTAAAAGCTTGTCAAAATATGTTCTCCTTGATGAACATGGGAAAGGCCTTGTATACTCTTGGTATGTACAAGTTCAATTACATAGATAAGATGCTAAAACTGTTTAGCATGCAAGATTCGAAAATGTGCTTCCTTCCTCTTCGATATAGCATTTTTCTCACCAAGGACATCGGTCCTAAGCCACCATGTGCGAAACTACTTGAGATGACAAAATTATCACAAGCAGGTTGTGTGATGTCTTACGTATCACTACTACAAAAAACACTTTGCGCGAAGAAATATGTTTTGTTGTGCAAAGTAAGATTTCATCACTCAAAACCTTGTGCTACGAAATTTTTGTCACGCATGGTTCATCGCGCAAAGTTTTTGATTTTTTGATTTAATATCTTGCGCAACGAAATTTTTGGTAGTGCAAGATTTTGCACGACAAAAGTTTTTGGTTTTTATTTTTTTATTAATTAAGTTGACTTTTTGTTTTATTATTTCTATTATTTCATTTAATTATAGTAGTTATTTGCACGACAAAATGTTTGGTAGCGCAAGATTTTTTGAATTTTTACTTTTTGAATTTAATTTAATTGTATGGCTGTATTTTTTTAATTACTTTAATTTAAATTGACATATTCAAAATAAAATTACATATGAAAAATAGTGATCAAATTATCCATAATATACATTTTATTAAAAATGTACATATAAATTAAATAATAAAATCCTAATACAAGTCTATGGTGGTGGTGGTGTTGGGGGAAATGGTCTGATAGCATTATAATCCTCAACTCCTCAACTTTCACTGTCAAAGTCCCGACGATTCCCTACAACTAAAAAAAAAAAAAAAAACATGGTCAAATTGTTACATTCCACATCGCCAAGGGGAGTGGATCTTGTAAGCCTTATATGTATATTCCCATCTCTACCTAGCACGAGGCATTTTGGGAGCTCACTGGCTTCGGGTTTCATAGGAACTCCAAAGTTAAGCGAGTTTGCACGAGAGCAATCCTACGATGGGTACCCCACTGAGAAGTTTTCGTGTAAGTTCCTAGAAACAAAACCGTGAGGGCGTGGTCGGGGCCCAAAGCGGACAATATCTTGCTACGGTGGAGTCGAGCCTGGTATGTGGTGGGGGGCCTGGGCTGGGATGTGACAATTTAGTATTAGAGCCACTCTGCTGTGTGGTGTGGGTGTGCTGACGAGGATGTCGGGCTCCTAAGGGGGGTGGATTGTTACATCCCACATCGCCAAAGGGAGTGGATCCTATAAGCCTTATATGTATGTATATTCCCATCTCTACCTAGCACGAGGCCTTTTGGGAGCTCACTGGATTCGGGTTCCGTAGGAACTCCGAAGTTAAGCGAGTTCATGCGAGAGCAATCCTAGGATGGGTGACCCACTGGGAAGTTCTCGTGTGAGTTCCCAGAAACAAAACCATGAGGGCGTGGTCGAGGCCCAAAGTAGATAATATTGTGCTACGATGGAGTCGAGCCCAGGATGTGGTGGGGGCCCGAGCTGTGATGTGACACAAATAACCAAAAAAAACAGCATAAAATAATACCAAAAAATGGGCATAACCTCCCTTACAATTGGCATACCCCAAACTCCACCCCTTACCTTATATCTGACCCTAAACCCAAAATTAACTCCAAAAACATATATTAATGAAAAATAAATTCAAATTTAGAGAGAAAATACCCTTGGGAAGATTGAGAGTGAGTGAGAGATAGGGAGAGAGAGTGAGAGAGTGAGTGAGAGTGAGAGATAGAGAGAGATGAGAGATTGAATGTGAGAGAGGGGGTCGGATTTGGAGACAAGGAAAGAGAGGACAGGTAATAGAACTAGAGAGATACATTGATAAAATTGTGGAGGAGTTATTTTGGTTTTAAAAAGCGTATCACTTTGCATGACGAAGGATACGATTTTGCGTGACGAAAGATTGGTCGTGCAAAGTCTTAAAAAAAATTTATAAAAAAAATTCTCGCATCCCATTTTTGGTGCCCACCCAATTTTTTAGGGTTTTGCGCGACGAAACAATTGTTCATCGCACAAAACTTTGTGTGACAAAATATTTATCGTGCAAAACTTTGTGTGACGAAAGATTGATCGTGCAAAGTTTTAAAAAAAATTAAAAATTAAATTTCCCACGTCCCATTTTCGACACCCGTCCAAATTTAACGATTTTGCGCGACGAAATATTGGTTCATCGTGCAAAATTTATAAAAATAAATTTTATTAGACAATTTAAATATAAAATAAAATAAATAAGGTTTATGCAACGAAATTTTAGTATTCATTGTACAAAGTTTTTAAAAAGTAATAAAAAAGAAAAAAAATTTATTTTAAAATTTAAAATATAAATAAAATAAATAGGGTTTAGGCGGCGAAATGTTGATTTGTCTCACAAATAAAATAATTTAGGTTAACAATATAAAATATAAAATTAAATAAAAATAAAATAAATAGGGTTTAGGCGATGAAATGTTGATTCGTCACACAAAGAAAATAATTTAGGTTAACAATATAAAATATAAAATATAAAATTAAATAAATATGGTTTAGGCGACGAAATATTAATATTTATCATGCAAAAGTTAAAAATAAAAAATAAAAACTATGAAAATAATTTATTTTACAATTTAAACTATAAAATTAAATAAAAAAAGAAAATAAATTGGGTTTAGGTGATGAAATATTTGGATTTCATTTTTAAAAAATAAAATTTATTTTTTAATCATATTGCGTGACGAAGTTTAAAATTTTGTCGCACAATGGGATTTTTTTACTAGTGTATGCCATGCTATGTATAATACCTGATATTTGCTTTGCCATCGGGATAATGATTAGGCAGTCCTTAAGTATTTAAGAAGTACTAAGGATATGATGTTTATGAAAAAAGCGTTGAAGGGATGGTGTTTGTGAAAGACAACACTATGTCCAATTACATGAAATCTACAAAGTGCAGGTCAATATAAGGGTGTGTCTTCATTTTGGATGAAGAAGATGTGAGTTGGAGAAGCAATATGGAGAAGTGCATAATGCTCTCGAACTTGAGAAATAGAATATAATTCTACTTTAAATGATAATCAAGAGGTTGTTTTAGGTAAAAAAGCAACTTGAGGAATAGAATATAATTCTACTTTAAATGCTAATCAAGAGGTTGTTTTAGATAAAAAAATGTTCATCATTGAACTTGTAGATGTTCCTACCATTGAATCATAAATACCATCATTAGGTGATTATAATGGGGTATTTGGTCAAGCAAAGGAACTATGGTTTCATGAGTCATCCATACAAAATCGAAAAGCGCTGTCACAAGATTAGAGAATCTGTGAAGAAGAAGAATGAGGTTCAAGTTTAAAGAGTTAACGCTGCAGAAAAACGTAGCGAACCCAATCAC